CTGTACTCGGTTTTTCTGTGGGATTTTCTGTGGTTGTAGAGGACTCGGTAGTTGGACTTGTAGTAGGCTCTGTACTCGGTTTTTCTGTGGGATTTCCTGTGGTTGTAGAGGACTCGGTAGTTGGATTTGCAGTAGGCTCGGTACTCGGTTGTTGTATGGGATTTTCTGTGGTTGTAGAGGACTTGGGAGTTGGACTTGTAGTAGACTCTGTACTCGGTTTTTGTGTGAGATTTTCTGTGGTTCTAGAGGACTCGGTAGTTGGACTTGTAGTAGACTCTGTACTCGACCCCTGTGTGGGATTTGCAGTAGTTGTAGGTGACTCAGTAATTGAACTTGTAGTACGCTCCGTACTAGGTTCCTGTGTGGGATTTTCCGTTGTTGAAGACGAGTCAGTAGTAGGATTTGTATTAGACCCTGTACTCGGTTTCTGCGTAGACGTTTCAGTTATCGTGGGCAACTGAGTACTAGAATTTGTAGTCTGCTGTGTAGTCGATTGCTGCGAAGTCGTTTCAGTTATTCCAGTAGTCGGATGTGTTGTACCTTCACTAGCATGCGTTGTATGGTTATTCATACATCCAGACCTATTCGGCCAATCACACACTTGTAACTTAGCATTGAAGTACAGGCGATGCCCATTAAGATCCAGTAGTGCACACTGCATGAGAACCTTCTTTCCATGAACGCATGCATAGAATTTTGTGCAATCCAACTCATGGGGAAGTAGGACGGTTTTAGCCGGTGAATCCGTTTTGGGACATTCAGTTGGGATATGAGTATCGCTGGAATTTCCATCTCCTGTCCCTTCAGTTGTCGGTCTCTGTGTTGACTGTTTAGTTGTAGATGATTCAGAAGTAGGGACGGTATCTACTGTCGTTGGAGAATTTTCCGCTATAGTTGTTCCACTCCCTTCTGTGGGCTCAGGGGTGGTGTTTTCCCCAGGTGGCTGCGCTGTCGTATTTCTGTTATTACAATTAGATCTACTTGGCCAATCGCACATTTGGAGTTTAACATTGAAATACAAGCGATTTCCGTTCAGATCCATCAACGCACACTCCATCAGAATCTTCCTCCCATTGGAGCATGCATAGAACTTCGTACAATCAGACTCGTGGGCAAGAAGAACTGTTCTCCCCGGGATATCCACTTTCGGGCACTCAGTCAGCACTGGAGCTTCCGTAGTTCTAGGGTTTTCAGTTGACCCAGAGCCTCCCAGGCTTTCAGCAAATACTGCAAGCAGCAGCCCTGCTATGCCTACAGAAAAAGCCCAATGCCCTTGACAGAAAAAAATGGACTTTTTTTTATCTCTATGAATTAATCATTCAAAGATTCCATTATTATAATCAATAAAATATTAGATTTTTACTTTAATATTAGAAATTTCTAGCAGAATACTTACGTGTCATTATAATTTTCTTGATAATTATTTGTTTTCAATTCTGTTGAATTACGGACGTGAAGATCCAACGAAGGATTGCTAATTTATTACGTCCAACTGGCAGTTCATTTTCTATAAAGATTGTCTTATCACAATAGCGCAGTGATTATCATATCTAACATCACCGAAGTGAATATACGTTAGTGTTTTCAAACTGCGAATGAATTTATATGCAAAACAGAATTTATCCAATTGTTGGATTAGGCAAATTGAGACGTGAACTATCATCTGATTTCAAGCAGAATGACTGCCCCAGGTGGAACAGTCTTGAGTGAAATAGGCCTGGAGGGTTGAACCCCACTTCCCCGTGACGATGCCATCAAACTTTATCGTAGTGTTTTTCTCAGGCATATCACTATCGATTGCAAATTTAAAGAATTGTTAATCACTTCTCATTGCCAAATAGATACGCAACTGGGAAGTATTTCAATAGTAGGTTTGACTAGTGAATCCTTTTTCGTAGTATCTGACAAATAGTTGATGGAGTTGAGATGTAGGAAAAAGAAAATTATGATCGTATCGTATTAGAGGATTAATCTCCGCAAACTTCGGTGGCTGGTGAGACGGAAACATAAACATGGGGATTAGAAAATTTCAAGGCACCACTCGTCCCACTTTTCGCATAAATATCCGGGGGATTAATGCACTTGTTCGTGGAATTTTTGCGTGCCGTATCAGATTGCAGGGTAAGTTTATCGTGGTACGTTATTTGTTGTTTGTTGGACTTCTGGAAAACTCATCTCTCGGTTGGATTAATTGTTAGATTTGTTTTACAACCACTTGTTATAAAAATTCTTAGAACAATATTAGACAAGGTAAAAAAGAGATTTCAAACTTTTATTTTAAAAAATTAACAAATGTCTATGTAGATATCGATATATTAAAATATTTGGTAAAAATCACATCTTCATGGTGGATTCCCTCTTAAAGTATGAAGGGATGAATTTTGAAACAGGCATAATTTAATTTACTATCACATTGTCGTCCCTGCATAGAGAAGATGAACGACCGACGAGGCAGTCGAAGTCCTCGTAATCACTATCTTCGTCGGGGAGTTTTAGATCAAACCCCGTCTTTTTTTCAATTATCGTCATTCTCCATTCTTCATTCAGTATTAATTCGTGTCTCTCGGGGAGCTCCTTGAATAGCTCGTCGAAGATCTCAGCGAAATCCTCTTCACTCTCCTCATCGTTGTTATCTTCTTTTCGAAATGCCAATGACTCAGAGAAAAAATTCAGGGGATTGATAATTTTGGATGTTGGTTCCACACCGTGAAGTCCTTTGAAAAAAGTTTCACAAGCTCTGTTGCAGTTCCCTGCGACCTTGTACTGGAGAATCTGTTGTTTATCTTTACAGATCAGGGAAATATTATTAAAAAATTCTCAGATCAACTGCTCTGAAAATTTGTAAAATATCAGTAAAAAATTCGTAGAATGAGAAAAATGGAATTTTTCTTAGTTATGAATTCATCTCGAGAAGTATTTCTATAGATAAGAAATCAAATTGACATTTTATGCAGAGCTCTTAGGCATTTAATTGTCGCAAGCGACGAGTGGACAAAAATAATTGTCCCCTTCGTGTTCAGATAAAATTTGAGAAAAACCTACCATCATCTGGACAATTCCACTCAGTCAGTTTCGCCCCCAATTCCTCAATATCAATTGCTGAGTTTTTTGAGAAGGGACACCCATTGCACTCACCCTGGTTCTTCACTGTCTGAGCATAGACACGACAATCCGGAGTAGAATATTCTATGCAACTCCCCCTTTTTCCAAAACGATGTTCAATGAAATACTTGTAGGATCCATACTTTTTCAGAGGCACTCGTCCCTGCTCTACAAATTGGCTATACATATATCTCTCAACCTTTGCACAATCTGCATTGACACCGTGAAGTATATCGTAGTACTGCATCCGTGAGAAGTGCTTCAGGTGGTGAACATCATTGAGATGGTCGTGGATGAGCCTGAAGCAAGGTGGAAACATCCAGATTTCCGACGCGATTTTATCCATGTTGAATTTTAAGCGATTCGTGCTAAGATGTTTTCTCTCCAGTGCCATGACCAGAGATGATCGCAAAATTATTGTTTGATCTTCATCAAGAGCTGTATTATCCACAATTTCGTAAATGTCGTTGTTCCTCGCGTTAAGCATGTGTGAGTAGTATAACGAAGGGAGAACTCGTTTGATCTCACTCGCACGGATGTAACAAAATCCGTGATGCAAGACTATGTCCTGATCAGAGATAGGTGCTTTATTCCAGGGCACTTTATAGATTGTCTCAGAGGGATCACGGGGATTGTCTCCACAGTGGTGAATATCTAGCTCATATCGAAGGTCTTCTACCTCCTGGGGTGTAGCTTCGAGGAATTTGTGACCATTTTTTTCGATGAATTCCAGGGCCTGGGGAATTTCGTAGGTCAGCACCTGCCACTCGAAGAGGGCTTGCTCCTGGACTTGCAGCATGTCTAGTATTACATCTGAGTAATTAAAGACCACGTGGATGAAGAGATGGGCTAGCTGCTCGTCCAGAACGTGATTTCGGTGTTCCTCTGTCCCCGGGTCCACACCGTTGTTTGTTAATAACCAAATGTAATGAGAAAGCTTGTGTTTTTCAATAAGTGTGATTAATTTCTTTCTCTTCGCGAGTGGAGATGAGCTTTTCCAGCGGTTGATGGTTCTCACACAGAGCAGGACTGTAATTTAAAGGAAAACACTCATAATTGAAGGCTGCATTTTCCAATTTTGGTAAATATTTTTTTAATTTTACCGATTATTCGATCGTACACAAGTTTCTCAACATATTCCAAATTCACCTCGACATCAGGTAATGCATAAGTCAATAAAACCGGATTATATTCGCGAATCTCAACAGAATTTTCATCATAATCGTTTTTAGTAGTATCATCAGAATCCCTAGTGTCATCAAAGTCATCAATATCAAATTTCATATAATCCTGGAAAAAATCATACCCTTCGCCTGAACTCATATTCACTGAATAATTCACTTGGCTCTTATTCTCAAATTAAGCATCAACAATCATTCACAAGAAATAATTTTTAAATAATTATTAACCGAACGTGTTTCATCGTGCGCCAAAAAATCAGGACTGTCAACCACTGGAAAAGTTGGGGGAAAATCTGGGGGAAGAGTTAGGGGAAAAAAGTGTCAGCCCTGTGGGGGAGATTGAACATGCGCAGAGTTCTCGTTTGTTGGAAGAAAATGGTGGCTTGATAGACGAAGCACATGAGTCGCGTTTGAAGTCACATCTCATTGATTAATTTGGGGATTGTTTAATATTTTTGTAATTTAGTAGTTGGCGAAATGAACTCGATCCCTGGATCAATCGCCTTCGACGAATACGGCAGGCCGTTTATCATCATTAAGGATCAGGACAAGCAGAAAAGACTCACCGGTAACGATGCCATCAAGGTGAGCCATCGGCGTAAAAATATAAGGGATACGGGTATTAATCCAGTTTTTCGTCATTTGGGGAGAGTTCTCTATGCAATTTTCCATCGATTTATCGTGAAAAATTCCAGGATTTCTTGTGCGGATTGAAAAAAAAAAGAGATTTTTTATAATCGCCACGTGATGGCGAGTCATGGCCGCCATTGTACTCCAAAAAATCTAGAATATACATTTAGTGGTCGATTAATTACAGAAATAGTATCAAAATGTTCCTCAAGTGTTCTCGTGAGAGAAAATTTGAAGCATTTAATGATTTTTAATCCTGGTTTGTGACATTCGTTAAGTTGGAAAATGTAAATTGGTGAGGGAACGATATTAAAGTGCCACATTATGCCCATAAAAGGACATTTTCAAGCTCTCCCACTTCTTTTTTGTCTCCCGGTGGTCCAGAAACTTCTACATATCTCTATTTAATTAATTTCGTCTGAAGATATTTATTCTCTGTTATTATCACTTTTGAACTAATGAAAAATGCTGGAGTATTAATATTCCATGGTTTCATGAATTTTTCTTATGCGAACTGCCCAATGACGAAAATCTTGCAATAGAGGAGGACGATGCTGACAGCTTTGGATCCCCGATTCCATAAACAAAAGAGTATAATCTCTCTCTGAAATCCGCAAGGAAACCGGGGGGCGTGAGTACTCTGGTGACTTGAATCCTGGATTTAAAGATTCAGTACTCGTAGTGGCTCCTATGATCCAAAGATTATGAGATCCGAGGGCTCCAATTGTTCATAATCAATTTATTTTGTTAATGATTACATTCTCTAATTGTATATGCCTCAGCTGCCTTCAATGGTAATTGGTAAAAAATGTAGAATGTGACAATTTTTTTGTCTCCAGTCCCATATTTACGCTGCTCGTAGTATTGCCAGTACCTTGCGAAGCTCCCTGGGCCCAAAGGGCCTGGACAAATTGATGGTGAGTCCCGATGGGGATGTAACAGTTACTAATGATGGAGCCACGATTCTCAAGAAGATGGACGTCGATCATGAGATCGCTAAGCTTATGGTCCAGCTCTCGCAGTCTCAGGATGATGAGATTGGAGATGGAACCACTGGTGTTGTGGTTCTGGCTGGAGCTCTGCTGGAACAAGCTGAAACTCTCCTGGATAAGGGGATCCACCCCATCAGGATTGCTGATGGATATGAACTTGCAGCCCAGTGCGCTGTCAAGCACTTGAATACCATCGCCGAGTCATTCCCAGTAAATCCCGACGATTTGGAGCCATTGATTAAAACTGCTATGACCACTCTTGGCTCTAAAATGTAATTATTTACACTCAAAATCAAATATTTATCTTGTCAAATAAAAATTTGAAAATATATTTTTTAATTGCAGCATCAACAAATGCCATCGACAAATGGCAGAAATAGCCGTTAATGCCGTGATGGCAGTGGCAGATCTTGAGAAACGTGATGTCAATTTTGAGTTGATAAAACTTGAGGGGAAGGTTGGAGGGAGACTCGAGGATACTGTTCTCGTTCGTGGTGTTGTAGTGGACAAGGACTTCAGTCATCCCCAGATGCCCAAGGTAATAAATTTCATTCAATTTTTCATATAATTGCAAGGAGAATTCCAGGAGGAAATGTCAATGTTCATTCTGTTCAGACACCTTGCGAAATAAATGCAATAATTGTTTATTCAGTTTGATTCAGTCATCGGGATCAAACTCGAGAACTTTCACTGCTACAATTGCAAATAAATATATAATTTAAAAAAAGCGAGGAAGTAGAGGTCGTAATCATCATTGATGGTGAACTTGACTTTTATTTAGAGACTTCAAGATGTGAAATTGGCTATTTTGACGTGTCCATTCGAGCCACCCAAGCCGAAGACCAAGCACAAGCTCGACGTCACTTCAGTAGAGGACTATAGGAAGCTTCGTGAGTACGAGAAAGAGAAATTTACTGAGATGGTGGACATGGTCAAGGCTGCTGGGGCAACTCTAGCCATCTGCCAGTGGGGATTTGATGACGAGGCTAATCATCTCCTTCTCCAAAAGCAATTGCCAGCAGTTAGGTGGGTCGGTGGGCCTGAAATTGAGGTGAGAATATTATTCAATATTAATTTTCACTTTTATAATCCATAATTATATTTATTCAATAAATTTAATCAAATTGAAGTTACGAATTGCCCAATGACGAAAACTATGCATTAGAGGAGGGCGACGCTGTGTTTTCTGAACCCCTGATTTAAATCGACAAAGTACAATCTCTCTTTGGAATCCTCAAGGAAATCCTCAGGGCGTGAGTGCAGAATCAAAATTTTCAAATCCTGGACTCAGTGACTCAGCAGTTGCAGTGGCTCCGGTGATCCAAAGATTATGAGATCCGAGGGCTTTCGGAAAAATCAGATCAATTCTAGAATATTGAAAGCTGAATTTATTATGGTGCGTTAGAGTAACAGAATTATATGGGAATTTTAGCTCATCGCGATTGCCACCGGTGGGAGGATCGTCCCCAGATTCGAGGAATTGACTCCAGATAAGCTTGGATATGCTGGTGTTGTCAGGGAGCTTTCATTCGGTACTACGAAAGACAAGATGCTGCTTATTGAGGAATGCAAGAACTCCAGGGCTGTTACTATCTTCATCAGAGGTGGAAATCAAATGGTAATTTATTATTGTTATTATTATTTTATTTTTATTTTTTATCTAAATAACTTTTTATTGCAAGGAGAATTCCAGGGTGAAATGTCAATGTTCGTTCTGTTCAGACACCTTGCGACATGAACGCCTTAAATATATATTTCAAGTTAATTCTGTCATCAGGATTAACCGAAAATTTTCTGCTACAGCCTTTTGAGAAAAGTCCTAGAAAATAATTAATCAGTAATAAAAGTTGTCTGGAATGAAATTAAAATGGAATTAGATTGATAATCAATAAATTATAACTTATGATTTATGGAAAAAATTAGTTATAATTAAAAAATAATGATTGATGACAGATCGTTGAAGAGGCAAAGAGGTCGATCCATGATGCCCTCTGCGCAGTCAGAAATCTTGTGACCGACGAGAGAATCGTCTATGGAGGTGGTGCCTCAGAAATTTCTTGCGCAATAGCGTGTGCAGCTCAGGCGGACAACATCGGCTCCCTGGAACAATATGCTTTTCGTGCATTTGCCGAGGCCCTACAGGCTATTCCCATGGCACTCGCTGAAAATGCCGGTCTGTCCTCAGTCGACGCTCTGGCGGAGGCCAAGGCCCTCCAGCTTTCTGAAAATAACTCAGCTCTTGGCATCGACTGCATGAATTGCGGCACTTGCGATATGAAGGTCCAGAACGTCATCGAATCCCTCAAGAGCAAGACCCAGCAGATCTTCCTGGCGACTCAACTCGTCAAAATGATCCTCAAAATCGATGACATTCGATCACCAGCTGATCCATCCGATTTCTAACTCACAAAATTCATTTAATGAATTTTTGCATTTTCTACTGGTCGCTTCATTCACGTTTACTAAATTTTTAATCGTTTTCATTACAAAGAATTCAGAGCAGCACAATCTTAGGTGGTTGTGGGCCGACGTCATAATAACTTTTATTTATAAGGCAAATAAAGAATTGTATTACTAAAATAATTTATCAATTGGCCCTTTCTTTGAATGCCTTCACTAATTTTTATAGATCCACACTGTTGACAACGTTTCATTAATTCATTCATGGTTTATGAATTAATAATTAATAAATTATTCATTTGAAAAATATCGTAATCCCTAGAAATCACAGGTTAAAAAGAATTACATTTGGGGCATAAAAACTACTAACTCGTGACAACGATTTTATAATTTATTTTTCATCCTCCAGGTGAACAAAAACCTTATATTACATTCAGGGAATGTCACAGTAATCACCTAGGTGCATCGTTGGATCTAAACTCTATCAGGCGACTATGGAAAGCCAGGAGAGCACAGTACGAATGACAAATTGATGTTCCCTCCCACAAAAAATAATATAGTATGTATAATTGTAAATGGCACAACATTCGGTTCATCCTCATCAGTAAACACTTTCAGTTGATAACATTAACATGATAAATCTCTCTCAAAATCCAACACCACATAATTTCGTCGATTATATTCAATCCTCCGGCCACCTCTCTTGTACAATATAACAAAATAATTCCACCTCCAGTGGCCAATTTAACCATTGCACGATAACAATTTTCCCTCAATCACCATCTCATTGGCTGTATTGTACAATTAATCACATAATTAATTCATAGGGTCTACCATCACTCGAATAGGCATCCCCTGAGGCAAACTGGTCCTTTGGGAGTCAGTGTTGCATGAAAATGAAGCAAAAAAATGCAAATATTGATGGAATAATGGAGTGTGCATCGCTACATCATGTATATAATGCAATGCCGACGACTAATCCCCTAATTTACGTTAATAATTCATTATCTCCGCAATTGGTCGCTCAATTTATTGTATTCACAATTTGTAAACTATACAAATCGCACCTAATATCTTAATCACATGAAATCTACTCAACTCCTCAATCGAACAGAAAACATTTCTGTGGACAGAAAATAAAAATGAGCCCATCCGTTCTCGATAATCGCCATTCGATAAAGAACTGAGGTAATAAATAAATCGTTGGGAACACAGGACTGTAAAAAAGTGGACAATTCAGTAATCAAGTAATAAAGTCAGATAATTCAAAATTTCGATTTTCTAAATATTGAATAATATCAAAAACTATTGATGAGAAGAAAATATGATATTACATTTTATACTGTAAATTTAATAACTTACAGAAAAAATTATTCAACGTCATCTCCTCAAATCGATAGTTTAAAAAAAATGGATAATGAGAAGAAATAGTATACTCGATTTATCTCACATTACAACTTGGCTTCTGACTTCATCACCAAAGACTTTGGAATACTTTAGGCGTTCTTCACACATTAGAAAAACGAAATCAATTGATCTAGACCTTCTTGAGCATCGGTAGATTGAGAACCTCGGGCACTTCGATGTCTTCCAGTCGAATGTTGGATGGATTGAAAGGAAATCTCACAGGATATGAGAACTTGAGGTCCATAAGCAGCTGTTCGTTGTTCTCCTTCCTCATCTCCAACTTGGCCTGCACCTTCCTTATAAAAGTAACAGGAACTCTCGTCTCAAAGTCATCAGCTGGTGTATAAAGATTGAGAATCTTGACGATCTGATTAGCTGAGAGTTTATTACACATCTCACAAACTGAATTAACATCCTCATCAGTCTTACGAGCCTGAAGGAGTTGTGCCGCTTGAATGATGGGTTGAAGGGCCTCAGCAGCAGTGGGAAGATTCTGATCCCTGCCCCATTGCTCTAAATGACTCATATTGTACCTGATCTGCATGCCCTTGGTCCAGTGACACAGCTCATTCCTCAAAAGGAGATTATTGAGGGCACTAGCACACATGAAGTAGAACAACTGCTTGAACAATTGACCAATGATCTCAGGATCGACTCCATGATACTGAAGGGCTTTATGAACAGCTGAAAGCTCGTCTAGGAGTTTGTCCAATTTTTTCTGGGTGGACTCTGGTTCTTCACCCATTGAGCAGGACCTAGCTAATCCCCTTTTGTTGGAGTTTAGCCCAGTTATGGCCTCGTGCTCCAACAATGCTGGAACTGTCAGCGCCTGAATCCTCTCCTTCAAGAGAGTCATTATATTGTTGAATATCCAGAGGGCTACGTTGCTCAGTACAACCCTGTACTCACTAAGATCGAAATTACGTAGGCACTGGGCATTTTGCCTCGGTGTGTTCTCGATTTGAAAGGGCTTGTCACCAGAGTACTGCTTCATATTGTGAAGCAATCGCAGCGTGTTGCTCAACCACAGAACTGACGAGTCAAAGTCCTCTCTCTTCTTTATCACTTTCTTCACAGCATTCAGGTAACCAGTGAGCAGTGTTCTCACTTTGTCGTCGTCGTTTACGCAGTCTGTGTGACGTATGCACATGAAGAGAATGTACGCAGGAAGCCCGGGGAGGAGGGTAACAGCTACTTTTGGTTTTAATTCTATTACAAGATGACGAATTACTACTGTGATGTCTTCCTTCTTGAATTCAAACATTCCCTCGTAGTCGCGCTCCTTCTTGCGAATTGCTGGCATTACGGCACTCGTTGAGGCTGAGGATTGAGGTGGAACTGATGACTGATCCGTGGGAACCTCCACACTATCTGGTACTGCAAGAGGAATTTATTAGTTGGGCTAATGCAAACGAAATCATGTAATGAAATCATTGAGTAGTGGCGAAGTGAGATAAGTAAAATTTCACATTCATAACAGTTTTTCAACAATTCATAAAATTAGAAAATTCCCATCATCTCACTTTACTACTTTGTTACTGAATTACAATGAGATTTTTAAACTGATGACGAGCGCTCTGTAGTGGTGATTTTTTATGGCGATGATTTTTACGTCGACTTTACACACCGTTAAACTCACCCGGTCCCGTGATCATATATGCACGGGGCTTCGGTGGCTCAGCCAAATCCTTCGTATCGTTTTCCTCGTCTTTGACAGCGTAAATTTAAATATTGTAATACCAAACGCGATTTTATTCTTCTAAATGCTTATAAACAATGGGTTTCTCTAAAAATTGCGAATTTCTCGCATTTTTCCCAGAACGAATAATTTGGAAAATATAAAAACTTACATCCAGCATCTCTGAGTCGCTTAGCAAGTATTCTGCACTTCTTCTTCAGCTTATGATTCTCCTCCGCAATTTTATCGTACCTTTCCTGAAGATCCTGGGAAAATAATTCAGAGTCGAATGAAAATTTAATGTTATCCCTCAATGACAGTAATTCTGCTCTCTCGAGTTGAAAAAAAAAAACGCACCAAGTTTTCTGATGTAAGTCGCGCTATTTCATGTTGCATGAAAGCCTCGGTCTGCGTCTGCGGTGTTTTACTGAGATTCACGGACAGTAATTTCTGCTGCTTCTGTATTTCCTCCTGCAAACGATCAATTTCATTTCTCCACTCGTCCCTCTGCGAGCGCCACCCTTTTTCCTTGCTCTGCAGCTCGTCCTCCAATTGTCGATTTATTTTCTTCTGCGCTTCGAATGCCAGAACCAGTTCACCATCCTCGTTTATTATGTCTACGTCTCGTCCATAGTTGGAGCCAAGGCTCTTCATTCTTCTCGTGTGATCAGCTAAAACACTGTGGAGTTGAATGCATTCCTCTCTTCGTCTCTCCAGCTCCTCCTGCAGAGCCTCGAATTGACCTGAAAATGAGGTACATTCAGGTGAGACCAGAGGGGAGATCAATTCCTTTGGATGAAAAAAAAAGTAATTACCCATCAGGTGCTTCTGAACAGTTGCAGTATCGGCCTCGGCGACTGTGCGTCTCAGAGAATTCAGATCTTTCTTCAGTTGAGCATTTTCCATTTCAAGTTCTTCCAACTGCCGATAAAAAAAAAAGCTGTCAATTAATTGTTATTATCTAAGTATATCTAAGTAATCATTAAAATGAAATTAAACTCCCAGAGAAAAATAATTTCTCATTCCCAGAAAAAAATCCCTTGATTCTAAAACCAATAAAAGATGTTGAAGCCCTCACCCTAAACGTATCCTGCGTCCTGGAAGATTCCTCTGGGCAGTCCCTTTCCAAATCCTCGACCATCCTTACAAGTCTGCCATTAGCACTCTCGACGTCCTTGAGCTTTTGCTGGAGTTTGAGAACGAGCCCAATATCAACAGGAGGAGCTTGTATTCCTCCATTGACCTCAGGAGATTTAACAGGTTGAGCTTCGCCATCAGGCGGGCTCTCAGACCGTCTATGACTCCAATCGATCGTTTCCACCCTCGAGTACGGTGTTGACGACGAGATGGTGGACCTGACCGATCCATATCCAAAGTCAATATTCTGATCATCAGGCGGCAAATCAGTGGACGCCGCTTGCCCCCCAGCGCTTCCACTGGAGGCATTGCTCAACGATCTCGAATGCCCAGGTACCTGGTGAACGAATTTCCTCTGCATGACTTCGAACTGCTCCTCGAGCTCCTGATAATCCTTGAGAAGCCTTTGATAAGCTCCTCGGTCCTGATCCTGCTCCATCAGAAGGAGATCCTTCTCCTGCTCAAGCCTATTCTTCAGATTCTCCTCTGCCCCCCTCCTGTCGACCTTGAGCTTCTCATGTGCAATCGAGAGTTCTCTCCTCAATTTATCCGACTCCGCAGCAAGAACCTTCTTCTCATCCTCCCTCTCCGCCATCAGCTTCTCCCTCTCCATCACCAGCTCCATCTTCTCGTCCCTCTCTCTCTTGACATCAGCCGCCATCCTCTCGATTTCTTTGTCCCTCTCCACCACCAGGGCCACGAGCCTCTTGTTCTCAGCCTCCACAGCCTTCATTCCCTCCAACTTTCCCTTTAGTTCGATTGCTTCAGCCTGAACCACCCTGAGACCCTTGCTCTCCTCGTTGATCGTCTGAATCTTCTGCTGAAGAGATATAATTTTATTCTCCAAGCCCTTGTTGAGGGTCTTAACATGCTCCACACTCCTCGCCTCAGCCTTGAGCCTCCTGAAGATCCTCCTCGCCAGGTACTTCCTCACACAACACTGAACAACTATTATATCCTTGATCTTCTTTCTACATGCCCTTCTCACCAGATATCCCCTCACAAGCCTCTGAATGAGGAGAGCTGCCGCGTTGTCCTTCATCCCCTGGTACTTCCTCCTAGCGAGGAGTCCCCTGGCATAAGTTTGGAGCTTAATAATTGTCCTCTTGACTCTCTGGTACCTCTCCTTGGCGAGCCACCCTCTTATCGTCTTCTGAATAGTTATGGCAGCCCTCTCTCTCCTAATCCCCTCCGCCTTCTTCCTCGCCAAGCAGCCTCTCGCCTGTCTCTGAAGCCCCAGCACCGATCTCCTGATCTTTCTGTATCGATTTCGATGTATAAATCCTCGCACCATCTTCTGAATCATCATGCAGGCATCCCTCTGCTTCTCCCCCCTCAACTTCTCCAGATAAGCCACTTGTCCCGCCCTGAAGAGGACCTTCGTCTTTCCAAACTTGAATTTGTCGTCGTCCTTGATGTAAATCTGGAGAATTCGCCTACATGTTTCCCTGAGATCGTCCCTGCGAATTTTTTTAAAAGGGCAGAGGCACCGATACCTCTGGAAGAACTCGCCGTAGGTCCTCTGGCTCGGAAAACCAGCTGCTGATATTCTGATGGTCTCCAAAACTCCGCAAGCTCGAAGTTGCTGAATGGCACGTGCTGCATTGTACTCGAAGGACTCTTTCGAGTCATTAGGCTTGATGCAGCGAACGTAGTGCGGCGTCGTGGCATTGAGAGTTGCCATGAGCATATTGAGAGAGTCCCTGAACTGGGAGCCAACTGTTTTCTTATTCTGCTTGGGATTCGCCGGTGTCGAGGGCTTCTGCGTGGATATCTTCACTTTCGACTGATTCGGCACCGATAGTTTGGGAATGTCCTCAGTGAACAACTGCTTCAACAATTTATTGTCACTCGATCTCAGCACATCCACCTGCTCCTCCATCACCGTATCCCGATTTTTATCGAGAAATCCTCCGGTTTCATATGTTACGAGATCAGCAAAGTGATGGATGAGAAAAGCACTGGTGCCGAATCTCGGCTTGCCAAAGTGTTTTGACTTGTTGCATTTTGTGTAGAGTTTCTCCGCCCAGGAGTCGTCGGAGCCCCTCGGCATCCTGCACTCCTCATCGAGTAGATCTAGAATTCCCAGTTTGGTCTCAATAAGATCGATGCAGGGCTGATTGTCATAAAAATCGATGAACGTCCACTCGATCTCCTCCTTGAGGTACTCCTCCTGTTCGAGCTTGAAGACGTGCTGGTTGAATTGCTGCTGGAGTTTTTCGTTGGCGTAATTAATGCAAAATTGCTCGAAGGAATTTGTCTCGAATGTCTCGAAGCCGTAGATATCGAGAACACCGATAAAACATCCGGCTTTTGTTTTTGTTCGAAGGGATTCGTTTATTCTGTGAACGATGAAGCTGAAGAGCTCGGCGTAGATATGCTTGGCCAGTGCGTCCCTGGCACCAACAGCCTGCTCGACGTTCATCGGCTTGAGAATAACATCTCGCATGGAGACAATCTTTCTGTGGCACAGCCACTTCCTCATCGCCTTCGGGTCGATGCCCATCAGATCAGCGAGAATTAGCAGGTGTTTGTCCTTCGATGAAATGTCACAAGCCTCCGTGTCCTCGTTTCCGGAATTATCCTGTTTATCAATTTTATTGATTATCCTGACATTCCCCAGGTGAAGGATCGCCGCGAGGATCCTGAAAACTTCGTCCTGCTGTTTGGTATCGAAACCCAGACGTGAGAGAGCCGCCAGGGTGTCCTGGAAGGTCGCTGAGTCGTCCAAACCATCTATCGAGAAACTATTCCCCTGGTTGAGGTAATGGAACCCTTGGCCGTTCTCCAGGTGCAGCTCCTTCAACCGATTCGGCGGAGATTTACCCCCGGCTGCCTTACACAGCTGATAGAACACGTGGTAATTTCTCTCATCATTCGCCTGAAAGACAACCCGAGACTTCTCCAAGAGATATGTACGAATACTAGCACCCGAAATATGATAATTCTTGTTGAACTGGATCTCGATGAATTTACCAAATCGCGAGGAGTTGTCATTTCTCGTTGTCTTAGCGTTACCAAATGCCTCCATCAGAGGCGATGATGCCAGCACTTTCTTCTCGATTTGCGTCTCCGTCGTGGAACCGCCGACAGTTGCAAAATAACGCATCGCATATTTGGCGGAAACAGTTTTACCCGCACCAGACTCACCGGAAACGATGATTGATTGATCGTGCAATTCTCGCTCGAGTTTTGTGTACGCCTCCTCGGCAACGGCGAATATGTGGGGCTCCAGATCGCCCATTGCCTGACCCCGATACGCCCAGATAGTGTCATTTCCGTAAATTGGTAATTCGTCGTAGGGATTGAATGCCACCAGGACTATTCCGCAGTAGGTGTAAATGCTATGACGTTGGAATCGAATCTGCAGATTGTAAAGAACTGCCGGTTCGTGGAGAAAGGAGAGAGAGGTGAGATTGTTTTCCCCGATGAGGATGTCTGGATTGCGAAGGGGTGGAAGATCGGCGTCGATTTTTATGGAGAGGGTGCGCTCCTCGTTGGAGTCCTCTGTGCGAACCCGGAGGGTTCCACTGCTCGAGAATGACTCCAGGAGTACTGCACCCTCCCAGATCTTCTCCGGATGCTGCACCCATACTCTGCTACCCTGTGAATCACCGTTATCACTCTCATTCACTTAATTATTTGAATGAGTTGCCCCAAGGTCATTGAATCGAGTGATAGCAAAACGCTGTCTCGAAAAATGACAAGGGCGGACGTGAGAGAATTTCCTCATAGAGACCACACCAAAAGGGAAAGGAAATAATTCGAAATCTCAAGCCAGCGGACGACAGGCAACACTGGCCGAGGATTTGTAACGGTAAAACACAAAACAAAGAAATAAAAAGTAAAAAAAAATAATAATAAAAGAAGTTCCGCATTCGTGTCGTGCCCTCGCGGGCACTCGAGAGGGGAATCGAGAGCATGAGAAAATCATGAACCAGATAAACCCTGGAAATGCGATCTAATCCAAGACGTAACACCTTTTATCATAATTTATCATAACAACAGTTGCGGGGAAAATGATTTCACGCTCCGATGAAAATTTCGTGCGCTCGTCAAAACCAAGTGGGAAAATCAAGTCCATGAACTTCACTCTTCACTCTTTCTTATCACTTTTTTTTTATCACTCGTGTATGTGCCATTTGTCATCATTACGTCACAACCGCTTCAATTATTTTCTTATCATCGTCAAGGTGTATCCAGTACATTTATCTGACATCTCTCTGTTGACGCGAGTAGACTCGATTTGAAATATTTCCCAGTTATTTATCGATTTGAAGTGACGCAATCCCTAAGAAATTGGACGAAAGCCCTCGTATTGTCATTGGGAAACGTTGTTATTGGAATATATGCATTCATTCATTGCAAGTGTTAAACATCGTGGGCTTCAGTGCGGCCATTTCCCCCGCTTTTTTTTCCAGATAAAAATATAAGTGACTGGTGGACAACATATATTGCTAAGTAATCTTATCAAAACGCGTAGGCCGCACACTTTTAATCACAACTGGCACACCAGATCCCCCGGAAATTTTCGAGCTAAGTTAAAACAACTCCACGTTTATTCTAAGTAAATCCTACAAAATCTGATCAAGCGGAATTGCATAATTCAATTAATTCCAACTGGAGATGGAGTAAGCCCTGAATATTCCCACGAAGCTAAAAATCACGGGGATAATTACGTGAGAATAAATCTCGTTGAGCTGTATCAAGTGGTAACATAAGCACGAGGAAGCCATGAGGATTAGAATCGAGAAAAAGAGTGAAAGCTTCTTCAATTCAAAACGAAAAATATTGAAGAGTTCATATTGAGGATTATAATGAATAATCATTGACAAAGGGCAAGGAGTTGTCTCTTCTACTCAATTCTAGACCAGCATCGCGACTTTTCCCCTCTGCAATAATTCCATGACAAGATTTATTTAATACAAAACTGGAATAATCACTCATAATTTTGGATGGAAATTTTACGAGAAAACGAAGGAACAATTGACGAGGAATAGTCACGAGTTTGGAATAACAGTCTGAAGGTGCATTAGAATTTCCCAGTAAAATTTCTCATTAAAATGTAGTGATCCGAGTGGTGCACGCTATCGACGCCATATGACCTCGGGCAACCCCTTGGATAGTGGAAAAGAGCTTCATCTAGAGTACAAAACGATAAATGAGAAGGTGATGAGTTGGAATTTCTCCACTGATTAAAATAAATCACTTGAATAGTTTTATTGAAATTCTCACGTATCTGGATTGAGTGTTAAATTCAATGTAGGTCAGCATGTTTTACCTTGACGTAAAGCTCCGTCGTTGTCATCGCGCCCCGCGCACCGAGTATCCAGATATGGTAAATACAAAACAAAATGCATATGAAATTGAGGAAAACCAATGAGTACCCAGTAAAAAAAATTCACGTTTCTCACGCGCGAGCCATAAGTCCGGTTTTTCACTGTCTCTCTCAAGTAATACGTTTCACACAAACCCGCAAACACTGGACAGGTAAATTTCGTCGGTTATTGCAGAGCGCGAGATATTTGTATTTATCGGTTTCATGTTTACATTGTGAGGTTTAACGTGAATTTAAATGGTAGGATTAATTGACTGGGGGTTAATATAAATAATAGGTATTTTATATATTTGGAGAGGGAATTTGATAGAACCGCTTGTATCGCCGTACGGTGGCACACAGCTGGAGGTTTCAACTGGTTCGGTATGTCGAGGTGCTAGGATTGTGCGCTCAAATCCCTTCTCCAAGTGCGCCTGCCCCGACAGCCAATGGCGGGCCGACATCGCGCTCTTTCAAGTCAGGTGCTCCACTGATAAAGGTGACAGCAGAAATTTTCATTTTATTTTCATTTTTTATAAACATCTTTTCACATCGACCATGAGGAATATTCAATATTCATTGCTTGTTTATTTGTTGTCACTCATACTCATATCAATTTAAATAAAGAACCATTTAAAAGGTGTACAATTATTAATTTCAACTTTCTTCTTCTGTTGTTCACGTTTTAATATTTATTATTTATTGTATAGTCGGCAGGGCGTAATCTTACATTTTTGTATACATATATATCTTATAAGTTCTTTCCTCCAATATTCATCCATTTTAATCGTCAATATAATAATGTGTATAGTCATCTCTTAAGATAATTGTGGGGGAGCGAAATAGGAACTGTGTTTTTCACCTGTTTTTGTACTTGCTCTTTGTATCGATGTGGAGAAAAATGTTGGTGATCATTTTCACGTACAAAACAGGCTGCTAAAAGGCACCAAGCCCCGCAATCCCACGAGATTCCTCATTCGAATAGCAAAATCTGTTGGATTTTACTGGTACAGTCCGAGACCACAATAAAACAATCTAGTTCAATACAATTATCAATTTTCAATTTGCAACAGTTCTAATGCATCATCTACGCGCGGATATCAGTTCAATTTACGTGCAATTTATTATTTTTTTCTCGTCTGAATATAATTATTGGCTTCTAACAATAGGCAACTCTTAACACTAGATTCTCCTCCTTCATTTCTGGATATTACATATCGTTATACTTTTTCTGCTTCACTGGGAACGCTTGTTTCAGTTGAAAATACTGATTTACGTCGATTATTACACTCTCATAACTTCACAAAAGAAAGAAAAATAAAAACTTACCGTTCATGGTCAAGAGAAAACGTAAAGTAAAAAAACAAAAACAATTGTTAATCGTCTTCAACATCTCGTGGAAGAGCTTACGATTCTTTTTACGGCAATAACCAGAGATAAATGCCGAAATGAAGTAATTTTTTAGTTTCTTTGCTAAGAGATTTTCAGGAAATATCTCTAGATCTAAAAGAGATGGAAAATTTTTGTCAAAATGTTTTTTATGACTCTCATTTCACTCTACAAAGTAAGTTCTGAGAAAAATTTCACTATCTTTCTTAGATTCAGAGATATTTCTCGAGAACGCCATTGGGAAACTACTGGACTTTTGAGTCTATTCCTCTTCAGTGCAGAATTAACTCTAAAATAAAGCGAAAGAAAAGGAAAACAAACAGAAAATAATTTTGCAACGCGTTTATTGTTTATAATATTGGCAAGTTGAATGGCTTACACGTTAATAAAATGGCAAAAACAATGGATAGCGGTTCAGTACTCCGAGGAAGACGCGTTAAAAACAATGAAAATGAGAGGAGAATAGTGAAAGATGAAAGGGGCAGATTAAAGCGCGTATGTGCAAAGATAAATAGAACGAAGTGTGGAATTATATACAAAATGATAGTCATGCTATTTCGTTTGAAAATTATTCGAGTTTTCCTCATTTGTCGATCATCGGAGTTGGGAATGAGGTAGAATTGAGAGGCCATCAACGGTAAACGCCCCAGGGCGTCAAATAAAAACAAATAATGGACCTTGAACAACTCTATTATAGTATGACTCATTGGTTAATGAAGAAATGAATAAAACAAACTATTCTCATTCTTATTTGAAAAAAATATTATAATGAAAAAAAAAATGGCAAAGAAAAAAAATTAGACGCAACGTAACAAATACTTAATCATGAAGCACCTTAGATATTAAAGTAATTCTTAAATTTGCGTACAATCCAACGTATTTTTTACAACTCTCGAAAATTATTGGCAATTTCAATCCAACGGGACACGCTCAATTCACCAGTCCACTCTGTCGCCAATTTTCATGTTCATCTCTAATTTCTTCTCTCCTGTATCATTGCACATGTCATATTTTTCTCATTCATTAACGAAAATGAATATCTCTCGTACTTATCGTCTCTCGAAAATCAAAAATTCCCTGCGTCCCTGATTATGTTTTATTTCAGTGTAAATATCACGAAATCATGTAAGTTTATCCGCAGATATTATTATAATCTATGTACATACATGTATTATGCAAACAATTATCTCCAATCCAATGGGCCATTGGAGTATATTTATATTTCTTCAGCCCCCCTGAAATTTCGTCTCAACTCTAAAATTAAATGTCTCACATACAAATTTCTCCATTCAAACAGTTCTGTCGCACTTGGTTCATTAAAAAAGATTGTTCATGTGACTGTAAGTACATTGTATTGCATTGTCGATTTGGAATAATCAGCACTGATCACGAAACGAACGAGTGAGTGACAACTTGGCAGTGAAATCACTTCAATTCTCTGTTCAACGTAGCTTCTGCTAAAATAATTTTTAAAAGGGGAGCAATCATTGGTCCATTCATTATTAAAAAATTTTCACTGAATAATATGGTGGAAATATGCGTGCAAAAGCTAAATTACAGTTCAACTTTTCTGCAACAAAAAATTGTCGACAAGTGACAGAATTTTGGTAGGTCAGTGAATTTTTTATTTGCAAAGAAACTTGAAATCTCATCGGCTTTTCCCTCTCAATTCAACCAAATTTTTCACACAATGTACGACCCACAAAAAAATGTGAAATAAAAAAAAAATCAGACACTCGCTCGTTCCGTAATGGTGCAGTCCTTAAGATCTATGCAGTGGAAGTAGGATAGAATCTTGCAATATTTTTCTGTAAACATTAATACGTAAAAAAAAAATAAACAAGAACAAAAAATGCTTAGACATCTGATATTTAATGATTTGTTTTCTATATCCTATGTTAGGGCATTCGTTCAGTGGTTTATTTTACAGTAATTTGGATGCAAAAAGACTGATGATTATTTATCATTACGGAGGTAGCTATGGCGATATATAATATATTCATATTTCTCTTCCCCTCCCATCGACCTCCACCCCATTCCCTTCGCTTCATTGGTAGGTATGCAAAAATTCATTATAAATTAATGGGAACAATCAAACTGAGAGATAATGAAAAAAAAAAAAATTCTATCAGTATTTATAATATATCACGGCCTGTCTGCTTGAGTTTACCTGAGTTTGTTCGTTCATTGTCACCATCTGCGATCAATGATATCCATCAATCACAGATGATTCTGATAAGTACCTGAGACGACGGTTGAAGCATCGACATTGATATCAGCGTGAAGAGCCTCAAAAATTCATTAAAAAAATCAATGGAAATAACCGTTTTATTTATTGTCAGTCTACTTGCACCGTTATTAAAACTATTGCAGACTCATTATAAACCCCTTGACGCTGATTTATCCAATGCAATGCCACCAACAGAACGTACAATTATATATTTAAACTATTGCAATACTGTAATTGGCTGTCTGTTCACTATTAATTGCAAAATGACTATTGCGGACTATAACGGATTGATAATATGAGATTGATTGTTCAATAATTTTTAACATTCGTCGTTTCATCTATAAACTGATCTAGTGACAAAGTCCATTGTGAATTAATAACTATTACAATAACTTGCCACTTGGGTAGAAAATATGAATCTAGCTTTTTTTCCCATTTCTGTAAAAATCTGTGTATACATATACCTATACATATATATTTGTCCATTTATTTCCATTCGTCTATCAGTTAAAAAGGGGTGAAATAAAATCTATTTATTGTTTGAGGATAAAAGTTGGGACTTGACTCGAATCTTTGTCACAGTAACAACCAAGGAATTCACCTGATTCCTTCATCAACTCCCAGTTTCTTCGTTATGGTTATTTATCATTAAATAAAAACGTCTGTGATAATTGAGAAAAAATTGTTAAAAATATCACCAAGACTCTCCTCGCATTCGTTTACTGGGCATTCGTTTAATCTATTTTTTTACTGATGTGTTTTGGATTTAATGAAATTTCATTTCTCCAGCTGTCTCCAACACTCTACACAAGTCATCATTTAACAATGACCGATGACTTACTTCTGCTTTGAAAATTGCTATGGCACAGAACGATACTCTACGAAAATTCATTCGGTTAAATTGTTAGTCTGTCGATAATAATTACATCCTCATTAATTTGTGTGAAAATTTGTACTCTGGAAATTTTTATCCCGTGTAAAAACTTCCGTTCAATTTCGTCATTTAATTCGCATATAAAATAGATAATAGAGAGCTTCAAGGCAAGAATTGGTATCTTTGTACCGATTAGACCTGGATCTTTCGATAATTAAGGATGTTCATTCATTTCGTTCCTAAATAAGTACCCTAGCCCGCTGTGGAATAAGAGTAGTCTCTCAATCGAAAAGAAAAATTTAAAAACCACTAACATTGAAAACTCCTTTGTACTAATATTCAATTTCTCGTTAATTTCATTAATAATTTCGTTCTAGTCTAATCGTATTTCGATGTAACCACCAATCGTATACGGATCAACACCAAATTAACTCTCATTCGTATACTCAGCATTGATTCATCGAATCGACATTTCTAAATAATAGAAAACAATTTAGTCCACAGCCAGGGCTGATTATAATTTTCAATAGTGAAGTTCACTCGTTCAATTCGTTTATCAACACAAAAACACATCGCTACGCGTCATTCCCTGTTCGTTATTGATACTATGCTCTTAAATCTATAATTAGTATACTCGGAGTATTGTATACAACTTACGTCTACCTTTAGACTACTCGTCATCCTCCTCACATTTTTCTTCCATCATTTTCTGTTTGTTCATGTCAAAATGTCAATCCCATTCTCTCGCCCCAACCAATTCCCCTCAAAATCATAAAAACCCAGGGCAAAGAATGATCGCGAGGGACTTTCAACAAAAACTTTTAATTAAAATGATTAGTAAAAAAAAAAAACAAGTTAACTAGAAATATTTGAGCCACGTAAAAGCAAAATGGGAAGTAAAAAACCTAAAGTCATGAACGATGAGTTTTATTTTGCACCGAAAGCAAATAAAATCGACTCGACGACTGCAATTGAAAAGCCCTCTGCCTTCCAAGTGCAAATTTTATCAACAATTAATTTGTAAACAAAACACGTGTCAAAGTAGTGCACCCACAGGAAACCCCGATCCTTCCTCAATATATACTTCTCTCTTCGTCTCAACACAGACACGTAATAACCGCACTAATTAACGCAGAGATTTGAAAGGCGAAAATCAAAATGAAAAAAAAAAAATGTTTGAAAATAAATCCTAGAAATAACTCACCAACAAGTCACCTCTCGACGGAGGCCTCGTCGTTCCGTTTCCGTCCCCTAAAATTTAAGTCACGAGGCTCGACAAAGGACGGTCTCAACCCATTTATTCCCCGCTCCAATTGCCCTCTCACAATCATCATTACCCAAAAAAAAAAAATCTATCACCTAACGTAGTTCCTATTGCTCTAATATGTGCACTGAGGTAGTCGGATGGAATAATTTTCAGGGACATCTTCAACTATTGTAACAACTCCCCTCGGAGATCATGCTTCCATTAATTTAGCATCAACCTGTCTCTTTCAAAACCGAAAAATCTAGACTATATGAGGTAGTGGATGGATTCCGGTTCCATGTAATAACGTAACATACAGAGTCTCCTTCCCAACATGAAAGAAAAAATAAAACAGGTGTGGCTGCATCTTCGATACATCCGTCATTTTACGTGGATACGTCTAATTGGTCCTTGTTATCCAGAGAGCGATGGATTTGCTTAAATTTTTGAGATGAAGAAAATCTCTTCCTCCATTGAAAAATCACATAATTTTCCTGAATTATCAAGGAAGTCAGACATTTTCTTTCGATTTTTCGAATTTTTATAAAAATCGGATAATTTTTGTGAATTCACTGGGAAACCGTGAAATTGTCTCGAATTTTCTAAAAAGAAAATCCAAGACCAAAAATTGAACCATAGACATTTCCACGTCAAAAAATAAAAGTTAAAATAAAACCGGATTACTCAGCGTGCACAGCTTCAGGCTCGTCGTTCTCACTGAAATCATCTTCCTCCCCATTGGAAGACTCAGCGTCTTCCTCGTGCTTATCATTTCCGATGCTTTTGTCATGATCATGTCGATCCTCGTGAACAAGCCCAATGCCCCGTCCCTCATCGCGGCCAATCATGGGATAGTCCTCGAGTCCTCTCCCTCCAAATTTCTCATGTGCACTCATCTGTGCCATTTTAGCAGCCTGAACAGCAGCAGCAGTGGCCTGCTCAGGACTGAGTCCAAGTGCAGCGAGTGGTGAGCTCTCAGCAATGAGTTGTAAATAGGTATCAAGAAGTGCAGATGATCCGAGTGGGCTATTATGATGTCCATGATGAAGTGGCAGATGACTGTTGTGCATTGGTGCTATATTGGGCTCACGATTATGTCCATGCATCATTGACTCGAGTGATTTAGCAGCAACAGCCTTGTTATGAGAGATCTTGGTGATGACTGTGTTGTTATTGGGTGTTGGTGAGCCATATCTGAGGCTCAGAGGGAGTGTCAAATCCTCGGGATCATCACCACCGCATACAGAGCTGCCAGCCTCTGAAGGTGCCCCTCTCGGTAGCTCCAATCTCATGTCATTTCTCCTGGGACCAGTGGGACTGGCTCTCGCTTTGAGCTCAGCTGGGCTCACTTTGACTCCAGCCTTCGCCAACAATCGTGACGCTAGATTTGGATCGAAGGGACTTGGCATCGGTAGAACTGGCAAATCCTTCGTACTAATACCACGATGCTGACGAGACATGTGCGAGTGAAGGGAATTTCTGGATTTAGCCACTGTACCACACAGTACACATCTGTATCCAGGGCAGATTGTGTGTTTGTCCTCCAGGTGAGTTCGAAGGGTGTGAGCTGAACGATATATCTTGCCACACTTGGGACAGGGTCGAGGATCTGTCGCTCGTACCCGCATCATGTCGAGACCTCGTCTTGCTACTGCAAAATAATTGTTCATCTTTAGCACAAGAATTTTATTGATCCATTGGATAATTCATTAATTCTGGATTGCAGGATAATCACTGAGGAGAGATAATAAGGAGTGTTTATAATAATAAGCGCAATTATTTAAACTTCACTCGGATTCTTTTATTATACAAAGCTTAACTGAAATAATGAACCCTCTCACTCTCTCCACTTTGCAAATTCTTATATAGATTTCGTACTCTTTACAATCTATAAATAATAATCTAACTCTGTAACTAGACTCTTGTTCATTATTTCTAAAATATGATGCCCTTCGTCACTCGATTCACGCATCGGAGCAATGGGATGGAAAATATTTACTGGAAGTCATCTAAATAAACTAACACCGGTGGAGGACAATTGTAAACTATCATTGACCTATGAGACTAGTACCATTGAGTCTGGTTGAATCGAGTGTCAAAGTCTGCACTTCTCTGCACCATTCCACACATACATCGCACCTGTATAAAAATAAGCCTGAGCGCCACTACGCTATACACATCACTTGGACCTTAACTTATCGAAAATAAAGCTAAAAACAAATGCATTTTAAAGTAAACACCGATGTTGCACTTCTCGCAGATAACTATTAAAATTGTGATCTATTGAGTTTTGTCCCAAACACGGCGATACTCGTTTCAACTTATCGTTAAACCTATGCATCCAATGATAAGACAAATGCATCAGATGTATAGATCAACGTCTCATCCCTCTACAGAGCTTAAATTCAAACGAAAAATACTGATGGCATAATAACTATGTACAGACTGACGCCGAAAGGACGCGAAAATCGATAAACTTTGGCTGTACATGTGCGTCTTGAAAGAAAAAAAAAATCACCTTACGCATCGACATCACATTGACATCACATCGTCATAATCAGCATCATAAACATCATGAAAAGCCCCCGAAAGGGTGATAATTACACATAAGTCCACCTGAGTGCCTTGATCTCCTTCCACTTAGCCCCATGCTTGATTCTCATATGATTCCTAACACTGTTTGGATGCAAAAAATTCTTACGACACGTGAGTATCGGACAAGTAGGTGAATCCCTCGGATAATGACGATCAAGATGCTCCCTCATATCACCGATACTAGCAATTATTCGATTGCATATTGGGCACGTGTAACCATACCGTGGAGAATTGAAATTTCTCCTGCTCTCCTCACTAGGATCGTCATATCGTTTAGCCTGTGATGAAGACGGTGTCACGAAATCAGCGACATCATGGTACTCCTCTTTGACAATCCCAAGATCCTGTTGGTGGTGGTGGTGGTAAGCTGCACCCTCTCCTTCTTCATGACCGTCATCTGCAACCACCACCACATGAAAATGTGTTACCACTGGCTTCGGTCCACGCACTTATCCCTAATCATTCCGTCTCGCTCACTTTTACAAACATTTATTACAATTATACATTATTGTTCTTTAGATACCGATAGATTATCATTCATCTCCGACGACCAAATTGTCGTCATTGTCTCTCGATTATTCTCTCTTGGATAAAAATAAAAAAATGTTTCTTTTTTGTCTCTATATCGATCAAGTACGATCAATTATTCAGTGATTGGGCATCACAAGGCATTCGACTACTTCCGCTTATGAATTGGATTATTCATATTCGGTCGCTGATGGATCCCGTGCGCCTGCAATTGATGATTGATCAGGTAATGTTTTGTTTTGCAACGTCTTCCGCAGACATTGCACTGGGGCCATGTGTCCTTGGGTGGCCAAGCCGAGTGTATATTTTTTACGTGCTGACGTAGATTACTCGCTGATGAATAATATCTACCGCAGTAACGACACAGCGGTCGAGAATCATCGGGACGTAGCTCTGTGTAGAGATGGCCCAAATTGTCCACTGCCTGGGTTGTATCCTCACCAGCCATGACATCCTCACCAGCCATCATTTCCTCACCAGCCATGACATCCTCACGTTTAGTCACGGTCCCTACAACCAGGACGTGCCCGTCAGTTCCATTCAACCTAATCTCTTTTTCCCACCGCTCTGTTTCTCAAGTTTTCCATTCACTCATCTACTTTATCAATGCTTTTTTTCTCTTTAATCATATGGTTTGTGAATTTATATTATTTATTCCATTCTCACACACATTCAAGGACACTACTCTCGTACTCTCAGGGCATGCCCGGTTGTAGGATGGTGTTTATATTATTTTAATGTGAATTCCCTTGGACATTTGTGTCTCGCACTGTGCGCTCTCTCAACCTTTTCATTTTTATTTCCTTTTATTGACGTGTATTTTTTTTTTTCGTATCTTGAGGGCCGAGATATTGACAGCCCCTAGTTTCGCAGACAGCCACCGAGATATATAGTTTGGAAATAGGAGGGAGGACTACTGGGCAAACTACGTAAGAAGCCTTGTATTGATCGACACCCCTTGCACGCCTCGTTGTCACTATCTTTTCTACGAATCTCCTCGAGCTCTCATTCGGAAAAAAACATTGAGCATCATTTTTCACATTCACCCTCCGACCCCTCTGCCATTTGTCTTGCATATTTTGATCAATTAAATAATAAAACAGAGGATGATAAGTGGTGGGAAAAATATTCTCCTGGGGGAGATGTTAATGTCCGGGAGGGGGGGAGGTGGAGGGGGAGGAATTTGGAGGGTGGAGTATTGTCTGGTAGATTGGGATTTGGGGGCTGATGATTGCGCACAGAGTCCATTAGACCACCTCTACCCCTGGTGAGATGGCTTGCATAGACATCGAGGTGCCACCCATTCCCCTTTTCCTCATTCTACCAGAAATGAAGAACCCAGGAGCAGTCTCATTGGCCCGGGGAGAATTAGAGAATCGATCGAAGAATGTTAACCGACCTCTTCGATGCGAATACTCTTGTCAGACTAGTTATCATGTCGATTAAAAATAAAACTCGATTTTATTTTAAGGATTTGTCTGGAGCCAACAGAAATCAGGGGGATGCCGATTCGATGAATTTCTTATTGAAATTTGTCATGGAGAATCTCCCGGATTTTTATGAGAACACTAAAGTTTCGCGTCTCTTTCGTAGAAAACGCCATATCTCACCTCTATGGGGTGATAACGACGGAATGGGGTGGAAAGCTCGTGTAGAATTGAATTCAGATTAATTGAATTTAAAGCGATGAAATTAGATAAAACGAGTTTAATGTTTTCTCTAATTATCGATTTGTTTAAAAACGAGATTTGAGATGGAATATTATTTAAAAAATAGGAATTGTTAAATTTCTTCATCTTTCATTTTTTGATACGAGATTTCCACTTTTCTGCGAGTGAAGTAAACATTTCTCGAGGAATTTTCTTGGAGTTGAGTAGAATTTTTCCGTTCCGCTGTTTAATCACTCAGAAAAATCAAACCTGAAGTGAATACATGCAGTTGCAGGAGATTTATCGGTCAAGATTTATGAGCGGAGTACGAGAGGAAACGAGAAGTGTTTGACTGACGTTAACACCCCGAGATAAAGTTGAAGTTGCGCCACGCCCGGTGATGACCAGTCGAGTAGTTTTGTGCGGGCAAAAAAGGGGAAAGAGAAAAGGGAAAGAAATAAAGCGAGGAAAAAGTTGGGAGGATAGAGTTGGGGGGGGATTACTCAGGAGAGGAAGGGATGAGGGCTGGAAGTTTGTGGAACGTGTTGGGTGGCGATGGGCGGGTTATCTCACCGAAAAAGCCTGGGATGGCCAAGGTGGTAAAAGAGGGGGAGTGCCAGATCAATGTGAACATGTCCGCTGAATTTGAGGATCGATCGACGTCTTGAGGAGCTCTCAGGGTACACTCCCTGTTTCACATTTTCCACGACTATTTTTCTATTTCATTGACTCGATACCACTTCGTCTTCATTTCCAAATATCGTCTCAATTTTTAGTGACAAGAAGAGAGTCAAAGTGACATTTCTAATTCAAATGGATACTCTTCGAGACAAATTGAGTCAATAATTAGAAAAATGCAGAGTTCGAATTATCTCACTTTATCACTTCGTTACTGAATGAAATTGAAATCGGTAGTTTTCCTGGATTTTTCGGAGAGTAATTATGGATTTTCGATAACGACATCCCTTGAGATTTCAGATGAAAATTCATTGGTTGTAAATTCTCGCGATTCGTACCGAGACATGGGTGGAGAATTTAAAGCAGTCCTGTGAAATCCTGACGAAGAATAATGGAAATTTTGAGCATTACCGACTCTGAAATGCAAGGAAAACCATTACGAATCATCTTCTGTGTCTGGTCACGTTTTTAATATGGGCCACATCCCCACGGGGATTCGCCCGAGGGACAGGGGAAAAGCTTAATCAATCTTTCTTCGTGGGAGCTGGATTTTTCACGCTGCATCCGTGAAATTTCGACACGGCGCGCAGTAAATCCCCTCAATACAAATGACTGAAGCCGAAGGGATTCTTCAAATTTTCAGTTTTCCCCATTTAAACGGATAACAGGTGGGTATTTGGCCGTGTTTCTCTGTCAATATTTCTCTTCCACAATATTTACATCTACCCGAGCCCGGCTACGCTGATGGAATCGAAATAAATGTTGAGAATAAAAAGGGGAAACGAAGTGGAGTTAGAGGGTGTAGCTAGATCGATGAGAATCACAAGGGTATACCCAAAGTCCCTTATCACGATCCCATCCCAGAGTGATAGATGGTTCCTAATCTGGCGCACCCTCTCGACCCGATCCAAAGTCACGTTTTTCTCATTGAACGGTTCGTAAAAAAAAACTCAAGTAACGAGAATAAAAGAGGGGGTTCGCTAGTGTTTAAGGGTAAACAGTCCAATTTTTCTAAGTCTCGGGCTATTGTAGTTCCAATTCTTGAAAGAACATTTTTTTCACCACCCGTTTAATAATCTTTTATATATCATTTTAACACTTTTGATTGGTCCAAAAATGTCCGGTTTTTGAGGTAGTGCAATTTTATTCAATATAAAACTGAATGTAAAGTCGAATAAAATTTACATTTTATTCAATTTTTTTAATCGATTTTATTTTTAAAAAATATTAGGGGCTGCTTGGAGGCCTCGAAGAAATATTCAAGATTTCATATTCTCGTCCCGAAGGGCAAATGACGATGAGGGATAAACAAAAGATCCCCTAATTACACGCGTCGAATAATGAGCTCGAAAAATCTCTCTCCAACAGCCGGCGACTTTCAAAACTCGTGGTATTCTCCGGTTAAACGCAATTCCCCCAAAAATTGCGTGGAAAACCATCAAGTACGAGGAATAAATAGAAAGGAAGGGAGAGTGGGCAACGTCTGGCAATACCGTGGGTTTGGAGAAATAGAGTCCAGGGCCGGGGGTGAAGAGGAGGGTATGGGCGTCTGTGCTTCCATTACCGTCGGACGAGAATCGAGTTTGGGGTTGAGTTGCACGGGATAGATGGAAGAGATTCGTAGAAACAGAGAAATTGGATAAGCCGGGGTTTGTTTTGCCGAGGGTACCCCCAAAAAAAGGACCGTAATACAACTGAGAAACGCAAAAGGGCGGTTCTTCAGTGGGGTTAATGCTCATGTAGTATCGATTGCCCTTCGTAACTGCTAGGTCTGCTCGGAGGTGAAATAAGTTTTTTTTTTTTCATTTAAGACAGGAGGTCTCACGGAGACTAATTACGTCGGTTCAATCCCCATGGCAATAGCCACTTCCACAACTGAATTATTGAGCTATTGGAGCTATTGGAGCTATTGGAGCTATTGGAGCTATTGAAGTTATTGGAGCTATTGGAGTAGCTCTTGTAGCTATCCTTCTAGTCTGTCTTTCACCTAAATAATAGTATTAAAAATACTCGTCATTAACTGTTTTTTGTGGGACTAGGCCTTCAATTCCGAGGACTGATCAATTTTTGTCGTCGGTCCACCCTTCGACACTTCCATACTGATGCTGGGGCATCTGCGCACTTGTATTGAGCCTCTGATCGTGCGCAGGCGTTCCAGGCACCTGATAAACAGGATATTTCTTTCGTTTTCTTATGTTATGCATCGAGAGGAGGTGTATCTGCAGATACTGTTTGGTTTTAAATTGCTTGTGGCATATTTGACAGGCGAGATACTGGGTCTGAACAGTGTGAACATTGACAATATGCTGTTTGAGATTCGAGTTGTTGGAGTAAATTTTGCCACACTCTGGGCATTTAGGTTTGCCAGTCAGGCTCAAATCAGGGCTCTGGTGGTGCTGAAAGGGATCTGAACACGACTGTAAATATTTGGCGCTCGATGTCACTTGTAAACTCTGAAGATTATTCTGCAGTTTGTGATGCATCACTGATAATTGCTCGCTGTTGAGGCTCATGGGGCTCAATGTATTGATGAGCTGCTGGGCTGAGGACTGGCTGGTGGCAATGCGCTTATCGTTACGGCTGTATTGCTGAATGGTGATCTCATCGAATGGCTTGCTGCATCCACGATTGTCGTTTCTCGATGAGCCACCGGTTTGCCAGCCACTCGTGCCATCATCAGAGGGCTGCCATCGCCCTGGAACCACCAGCCAATTTCAGTCCCACTTTGGTCATCTCTGAATCTCACCCTTAAACACTAGCCCTCACTCCTGACAACCGCGATTTCTTTACTCTTTCGTACGGTTTTCCTCGATAAAACTTGGGATTTTTTGCTTTTGTTTGGGTTTTTCCGTTTTTTCTTTTTTTTTCGTCACTAATGCAATATCTTCGATGATGGGCCAATTCCACGATTTCCCAGGGATCTTCTTCGCCACTCACTCATCTTATCATCCTCTGTCTATTTGATTTGTCATCCCTCTGGGCACGTGGATTTTTCACAGGTGAATTATTAAGTTAGTCAAATCCAAACGCGTACTTTACTCACCGTTTATTTGGTCTATTAATTTTGATTTACGATTTGTTCTGGCCTCTTGGTTACTCGGAAAATATTGTTATCGTTGTGAATTCGGGGGTGATGGGGGGGAGGGAGGAGGAGGAAAGGGAAGGTTTTGTGATTTATGAGAGGTACGAGAGTTCCATGCATTCAGCGCAAACAACGAGAGAATCAGAGTCGTAGGAACGACAAGGAATTACTAGTTTGGAACTACTAACGTTAAATGAAATCGATTCTTTTTTTGTTCAATTTATCTGGGATTTTTTTTCTTGATTTTGTTTGCTTTTGTCAATCGAGAGTGAAATTTTAAGGTTTTGGAGGACTTACCGTAATTTGGATCCTGATTTGCTGCGTGAATTCCTGACGGGCCTGGCATCAATCCTGCAGATAAATAATTATGAATTTGTTAGTTTTTTTTGTTATTTTGAAGGGACTGAAGGTATTTTCTTACTCTGAGAAACAAAATGGGGACATCGAGAATTATCAATTCCGAAGTAATGTGGTGATGTGAAATAATTCGAATGTGATAGTTTAAAACGATTGATTTTGAGGAGAAATCAGGCATCACATCAAATTTATAGCTTCCAAGATCACTGGATAGTGAAAAAAAAATAACATCGACTTTAGTTTTTAAAAATTAATAAGTTCTCTCGTAATTTGTCGATAATTAATTAATTAAATTAAGTTAATAATTTGAATAATGAGGGAAAAAGAGGGGATGATAAAATATTATGATAGGCTCACCCTGAAGACCTAGGAGAGCTGCTGGGAAGGAGTTACGATGGTGTTCCATTGAGTCATTGAGAAGGTCATTTGGCTCAGTCTTCACTGAATTTAAAATACTATCGTTGTTAGATATCTCCTCGTCATTATCGGACATGGAATTCGAATCTTCACCGGTTGATTGTGCCTATAAAAAATAATTGATGATTTTTATTGGAAATGGAGGGAATTAATTTTGAGGCAGGGATTTGAATAAATCGCTTCAAGGTTGAATTAATTAAATTACCTGAACGTTATTTGCGGGAGTGTGTATCGTGGGTCCACCTTCGAGTGCCTGTCCGAGGAGTGACTCCTGGAGATCGGCTTTTGCCTCTTGGTGATTGCCCACTGGTGGTGAGTAACTTCTCGGTCTTTTCTCGGGGGGAGGACTCAGGCCACTGTCGAGTGGATCTCTCGTACTCTCGTGCCACGGATTTCGTGATGTCACCTGATGGAAAATCGAGGTCATCAGAAAAAATTAAAACTTAATGTTTTTTTTTTAAATGGGAATTTTAATTTTGGAAATAGCATACTGAGAATATTTTGAACGATTACTAATTAATTCAATTCAAAAATATAACTTCAAAGTGGAAACCTCCTAAATAATTTCTTTTCAATCATTTGGTATTCAACAAAATGGAAAAATTAAACCAATGCATATTTAAACACACGAAATGACGTAGGGTAATTTTAATAGAATTGTCGGAAAGAATAAATAGAATCTTTTAATAGAATTCTAATACCAAGGTTCACCAAAATTTGACGATCAAACAAGATTTTCCAGATAATTTCAATTAAAATAAGTAATGAATAATCGATTTCGTCACAATGATGTATTTAAATTTAATTCCACGAGTCGAATTTCCGCATCCTTGAGAATCAGTAATTTCTGGAGGAATCCAATGTAAATGAAACAATAATGAAAAAAGAGTGGATTTTTGTGGTGCTCACCGGTGAAGCATTTTCTGGACCCTCAGATCCAGTGGGTGGTGGTACTTTGGTGCCGGCTGTACTGCTGTTGACATCAGCAAGACCCCTCACCTGGAGCATCTGGGCTGTTTTGAGAAACGCCGCAAGTTGCTCTTGGCCAACATGTACTTCACCGTGATACATGAACCTCAACAGAGACTCCATATCCGACGAGGCGACATCCCTGAGGATGACAATCGGATGCTGACATGGATTCGCCTGCAAAAAATTCAAAATTCACTGACATTAATCACCGACCTGAAGATACAGACGTTACAAACATTCAACCTGATTCTTGTTAGTGTTTACCCGGAAAATCGTACGAGCTTTTTTGGGGAGTGCATTAAGATCTGCAGAAAAGATCTTCAAAGAAATTTTACTTTCGACCAATTGACTTGTGGCCGTTTCACTACTAATTTCGCAATAATTTTTTTTGAGGATCGAGGAGGCACTCAGTGGCCGTTAGAAAGCTGTTACCAGCTGACATGAGGCATTGGAGGTGGCTGTGGTTAATAATATCAATCCAGAAGTGTACACCTAGACCCCGTGGGTGTCCCACAACTCGATTCAACCGATAATTACAGCTACATGTATAATCCATTGCCCAGACGCCTTCGCAATGGACTCGTATATTTATTCAACAGTTCCCTCCCTCTTCTGAAGCCACCCAGTCCCCAGAATTTCTCAGACAACTTTTATTTCCATTTGAACGCATAACGTGGTGCACAATATCAGTGCGAAGCACCCCAACTAGTACGTTAAGTAGAAAAGTAGATAGGAAATACTGCACGGTTTCTGATCCGGTTATGCGACTCTCCCCTTCTGCAGACTCGGCTCTGTCTCTCCTGCCAACGTACGACAATACAACACCCATAGCATCTCGAAAAAAAAATGTCTTCAATGCACACGTCAGTTAACATGGACGTGTCTTTCGGCATTCTAAATATTTTTAAAACCATCATAATCGCGCTAATTTGCAAAAATGTGATAAAAATTCTTGAGAACAAACGAGAATGAAATAAATTCTGATCACATCTCAAAAAATTCCGTAAAAAAAAATCCGCCAACAAAACTCCATGAAAAAAAAAACACCTAAAAAAAGACGCATAAATCCCCGTAAAAAATACTACCAAAGTCTGTCCGAAAAACCAGTCGTATTTTGATTGGCTTGGTTGTCTTCTTTTTGCGATATAAGTATTTGTTTTGTTTTGATATGGTATAAATGAAATCAATACTGCCAGATAAGTGCATTGAATTCATAACTGCACTTGGAAAGTATTTGCTTTGCTTTGCTTTGATTCGGTATAGATGTAGAAATGACTATTTCTCGGGCAAATGGGTTGGTAACCCACTTAACATGGGCAACAATTTTCAATGCATTTCGGCAGGAGCTAGTAAGTGCTTGTGGTCAAGGTCCGAATTAATTTTTTCGGATTTTTTTTTGACGGGCTCTTTTTGCAGCGCCCTTTTTGTCACAGAATTTTTTTGTCGGAGCTTTTTAGACATGGACCCAGATAAGTTTTCAGAACACGTCGAATTTTCTCAATTCTTTATTTAAAGAACATACGATGACTCACACTTTAATAGACTCGTTCGCGAGTGTTTTAATGACTTCACTAAAAATGTCCCCATGGCGTTGTTTTCCCATAAATTGCAATGAGAGAGAAAACCCATGATGCCAAGGGGGAGAAAGTGGGAGGGGGGTGGGGGCTGCAACTGAATCCTCTCCAGTCTCGTTGTCGAACGGAATGCCCGACGAGCAACTACGCACTTCCGTTGATAAAAATACGCACGAGCATAATGTGACTTGGGTAAAAGTCGTGTACAACACGCGACCTCGAACACCATCATTTTCACTGTTACATTCCATCATCATCCTCACATATTCACAATGAAATTCATTTATTCAACTCCTCTCAGCCCCACGACTACGAGATACAACCCATTTCAGTTCACTCGACTCAATGGTAATGTTTCCTTTCATATTAAATATTCGCATTATTTTTAACGTAAAAGTAATGAAATATCAGCCATTAAATATTCATTTGCGCGTTTGTTTTTATCTCTCCGATTTTAGTTGATGAATCGAGTTTTTTGAATTATATACTCCAGTCTGGTTTTCCCATTTTTTAAATCATCGGATTTTCGGTAAATTCAAATCTCTTTCCCTTCTTTTAGTCAATAGTCATCAGACAAGTTTTGGATTTGAAACCGGCAGTTTCCTCCCACTCCCCGAATTTCACTTAAACTCAGAAGCTCAAAGTATTTGAGAGGCCAACGCTGTCGCGGTGATTGGATATTTGAATTCTTGAATTACATCCTAACATATATAGTAACACTATAGTCAGCCACACACACAAAATAATTCCCCGGTTGTCTCCTCTGCAAGCCTCTTATTTTTTTCTCTACCTTTCCATCTTTATTTCTCTCCCTCCTTTTTTCTCTCATTTCTTGCTTCTTCACAGTTGTTTTTTTTTTATTTCATTGGTGTCTCTCTTGCCATCGCACATTAATGCCGGGACAAGCACAACTGCGACGGGTATACAATTTATTATTCACCCAGGGGGGAATAGTTTGTTAAAGTGTGGGGCTTCGAGGTGGCCGATTTTATTTTTAGGTGAGTATTTCATGATGTCGGGTGTACAGAGAGGAAAAACTGCGGCTGACAGACTCAACTGTACGAGAAATCAATTCTCCCGGTTGTTTTAGTCAATTGGAATTTTGGGATATCCTATTTTCGGTTTATTACCCTAAGGCAACTGAACGGTTATGTCTATCTAGGGAAAGAATTGACAGATAAACGGTAACTTGAATTTCCAAAACGATTTGACGGAAATCCATACGGGGAATCCAATTTCAGTCTAATTAGACGAGTTATTACTTTATCTCATATTATTTCTGTGCTTGAGAGATTTATTGTCGTTTACAGGGGAAATTAATCGTTGGTAGACGAAATAATTACATTATGAAAAAAATTCACTTTCCTCCCCTAAAAATCCGAGATGGACGCCTGAAGTCGGGGGGGAAAATAAAATATTCTATTCGTTTTTGCCCGTGCTCTAGAATTTTAGTACAGTCTACCTGACATAACACCGCGTAATTCTCCCTTTAAATAACAATCACCAGAATAATGAACAATGCAACGAGTGTTTGAACAAATGCGTGCAATGATGGTCCACGTGCCAACAACCCCTCGCTTAAATATAGAATATGGAGCAGTGGTGCGTTAACCATCCAAGATTGCCAGGCAAACACGAACACGGGGAATGATAGTTCTTATTGCGCAAGCGTTTCTCACAAATCGAAAAAACTAATTTTTCTTTTTTCCCCCCTTGAGACTTGAGAAGCAAGTGTTAAGTGGTGCTGGACTCATGCGATGAAAATAATTTTTTCAAAATACCTTGAGTAATCTCCGGAAATACGGACTGCAGGCTGAAAGTACGACTTTGTGAGCGGTAAAACTGCTGCTGTCACATGCCAGTGTAACATCGACGAAATCCTCCTCGTCCCTCAAGTGACGGAATGAACTCAGTATACTCGAGTGAAAATCATTCCATCTTAGTGAGTACTGCTGTTCGCTTGTCGACGAGGACGACGAGGCCGCCATGGCGTCCATCCCCTCGGGACCCACGGCCGAGGGCACCAGTGGTGCTATTGTGCCCGCAATGGCACCTTCACTTCAACTTTAATCTCACTTTTTATCGCTCCTTCAAACTTCCACTATTTCCTCCTTTTTTCTATCTTCTTTATCTTCACTCCACTTGATTTTACGATTTTGCTTCAAAAATTTGGGATTACTTTCTGCTATGCAAACAACTATTTCATCGGACTCGAAGACTATTTACTACTGAAAACAACAAAATACATCCTCAAAATTAATTTCTATCGAACCAAATTAAGTTGATTGAATGCTCTGTAATTCTCCTAATTAAAAGTTTTTCATTTTTTTCATTTCTTTCCACAGAATACACTTGTTAAAATACGAGATTTAGAACGTGATTTACGGGATTTCTGGAAACTTTTAATTTACGATACAGAATCACGGAATGGTAATTTACAGGATCGACCTCGTAATTTACCGCATTTCTGGACGTAATTTACGTTTCCAAAGTCGTAATGTACGAGATCAGAAATCCCATAAACTACGTTCTAAATCTCGTATTTTTACAACAGTGTTTTCTGTGTGCTATATTGAAAATGACATTTTGTCAAATTTTCTGTCAAAAGCAAAAGCAGAACTGAAATACTAGCAGTTTGAAATATTTTTTCTGTAATTTCGATTTTTTTTCAATGGTTTTCAAGCAAACACTTCTTCCAATTGTGAAAAATTCAGAGTTGCAAGTATTTTCCTTTCATCAGAGACGGAATTTTTCCTACCTGGAAGATGAATCGTGGGAGACCGAGAATCACTGTGCCCACCAGCCGTCATGCCTACCACATGGATCCAAGGACAGCAAAAGCTCAACTACAATTTTCAATTTTCCCCACGTGTTTTCCACTCCTCCGATATTATTCATATACCTCTCTCATCTGTTCTCTCAAAACTCTCTCGTCAGCCGCCGCCAGTTTTCTTCCTCTGCAAAACCAAAAAAAAAATACCCATTGATTACCGATAAATAACGATCATTCTCCCTAAATAAATACCCATCGACGAGAAGGTAATAAACATAAACTATCGAATTTTCGAAAATAGAGAAAGTAAATTGTGGGCCCATCGGACGTTGGGTTTCCTCCGGTCCACTCAAGTTGGAGTAGACCCAGAATCCTCGGAATTTACACTACCATTATCGTACACACAACATTTTTTTTTCTCATCTCCCGGGGGCAAGAGGACTGATGGTGTGTGGCACATATTGCGTTTTACTTCAGACGAATGGTCCTTTTTACCTCCCCCCCTTATTTCTCTCTCTTTCTAGCATTTACCCGAGTAGTTTTACCCAACGTCCCTTATTTCCTGCCTGGCCCCGTCTGCCTTTTCCCTTTGCGAAAGCCAACAACCGCCGACGCCCTGACGCACACTTTACTTCCATCCTATATACCCCAAAAAAATCCAACAAAAAAATTCCACGCCTAGGGCATCACCCAATTCTCCACAATCCCATTCCAACTTTGAGGAAAAAAAATGTCAATAATAATAATAATAATAATAATAATAATAATAATAATAATGGTATTAATTGAAATTATAATTGTGATACCAAATGTCGAATCGAAGAAAATGTAATGTTTTCTCATTTCGAATAGAGATATTCCAATTACAGCTGGAATTTTCAATGAGTTTCATTGATTACTCAAATAATTAATTAATTCTTCCGCCAGGGCACATAAAAATTTAATTCAAACTAGTGGTTGTTAAAAATTCGAATCGATGTAAATATTTACGATGAAGAGACTGTCGAGGTAATTGCTACAGGGTTACACGAATTTTTAGGAAATGACCGATTGATTTTGGAGGAATTAAGGAAGAATTCGGAGTTAAGACGCATTTAAAACAGTGGAGTGTCCCAATAACCCAGTCTTTTTAAAAAATCATGAGGAAACACGATAAATTTACGCAATCGATCAGTACTCCGACAATTTACCAGTTTACTCGTTGATAAGAGAATAATCCCCGACTCGTTGCGCTCAAAGGTAGAGTTTCCTATCGTAAACGAATTTCACCGATAATAATCACCAATTATTTTTGGAATTAACCACGCAGTTGGTGTGCAACTGAGACATTGTCACTCATGTTTTCTCGTTATCATTGTTTACGGATATTCGGAGATGTCGTTCTCCTCGACCCCTGGAGAAATATTGGCCCCGCGTAATTACCGATAGGCCCCTGACGTCGAAACCTCAACCTGTGTTTACCATTTCTATATTTTCCTCGTTTCAACTGCTTTTCGTTAGTTTGACACACCCGATGGCTCGCCGCAGGGTTTAATACCTCGTTTTATATACGAGGTAAATTGAGGGCTCCCCCGAGGCCTTTTTATCGATCAAATAACGAGGTTCACGACGTTCTGGTAAGACGCACATGCTATGCGTCATTTCCGTACACCAACACACTTGCAATACCTCAATCATATAACAGCCAAAAAATATCGCACATGTTTTTAAAAATCTCTGCCAGTTGACATTCCAAAATTAACGCTAAACCGTTAAAAAAGTACTCTTCACCCTACCCGTAACTAATTTCCCTCAATTTCCATATGAAATTATTATCAAAGGCATACCAGCCGAAAAATATGAAAATTTATAAAAATTAATCATCGGAACTTCGAAGATATAAAAAAATTCGAATGTAATAGCCAAAATGTCACGGAGAATTCCCAGAAAAAAAAGAAAGTAAACAGTATAAATCAAATCTTCAAGTAGCTCGTCTTAAAATATTTTCTATCTGTCGATGTCACATGTACTCCTATTACCCATCGGGAAAAGCTCCATAAAAACATGGAATTACTCCATATCATACATTTTCTATGCAAACGGCCTCCCCCCGGAAGCCTCTATCGAATTTATCAAAATGTAGACGGGAAGCCTAGTACTTTATATCTACAATAAACTGGCTAGTGCGAGTTGAATTGAACGAGCAGAAACTAAAATCTTCACATTGTCGTGTTGATGGGTAAAGGAGGGGGCGGCAGGGGGAGTAGGGTTACGAAGGGAAGGAGGGAAAGGAAGGGGGAGGAGTGGGCGATACTAACTGGTTTTATCCTTATCAGGAAGCAGATCGATGGCAAAGTATCGAGCAATAATGTGCCTCAAGTTCTCTAATGAATCCAACTCAATCCACTGAATCCCATTCAATTAAATTGCGATTGTGGGTCCGACTATGTGCATATGCCATTGAGACGAGCCTCTCGTGGGTGCAACGATCCTCACTCGCTAGATAAAGATAGAATGCGAAGGAAAAAAAATTTAAAAAAAAAACTTGAAGGACTGGTGAGAGTGCGTCTAGCACGTGCGCACGTGAGTCGGTAGGAGCATCAGCGCGTTGTTTGCCTTCCTCGCGTCGGATTTATTGATCACACACGTAGCACACGCGATATGACGAATAGGCGTAGTAAGCTGTGGGCTAAATCTAATCATTTCTATTTTCAAATTATACGAAAATTTACAGCCCCTCTTCGTCAATTCCACGAATAGAAGTCATCATTGCTGTTTGTTTTCGGTTATTTCCAATAAAATTCGTACTGAGAAGAAGAATATACTTTTGATGAGGCAATTTCATTTCCAAGTCCATGTACTGGGCGAGCCAAATAGTTGTAAGTTTCATGTGGGATATGTCTTATTGTTTATGTTTTTCAGATTAAACTCAATTGTTAATCTATAATTTTTCATAATTTTAATGGAATAGGCAAGAGTCGTTAGTTTTTTTCAATGTGGTTGCAGGCCTTCGACCCGGTCAGTTAACTTCATATTCATTAAAGGCGGGATTTAACTACTTGTGTGTTAGGATATTTTGTTGAGAATGCGGAGGGCGAGGTACTCGGAATTTTCTGCACCGAGTGGAATAAAAATTATAAATTCAGTCTGGCAAATTTACATGTGGACATAAATATTTGCATTTGGAATGTGTGAATTTTGTGGTATTAGTAAATGTACTTAGCGAAAGTAATTTTGCTTCTCGATGCAATTCAAGTAACGGTGAATAATTCATAAAGTAAAAGACATGAATTGCCGATTTTTTTCCAATTTTTCACACTTATCACGGGAAAATTGAATTTAATAAATTAGTGTTTATTGACCTTCAGATTGTCTGCACTGAAAAACAACGGAATATTTTTTTTTCGATTATAAAATATCTCAAAATTCAACCCTGAAAATGGATACAAAAAATTTTAATTCAGACGTCTATTTTATTCGGCTATTTAAATTCCTAAGGGGTTATGCCAGAAATCGATTGTAGACAATCAAATACTAGAAAACATTTATGACACACGACGTGTTTTCATGTCAACATGATAAAGATAAAACTAATGTAAGTCCAATTTCTTGTAGTAACAACCAAATGTTCTTTGCGTACCGACAAGTAATAATTGTAATTCCATGATCTATTAGTCAATCGATGTTTCGGTATTCCACGTGATGCAGGGGCATGTGTATTTCGGGTAATCACGTCATCCAGCAACGGAAATATGACTGGGCGATTAATCCAAAGTTTTCAGGGATATAACACCGGAATAATACAGCCTCGGAAATCTCGACGCGAATTACGAGGCGAGTAGGTTGAATCTTGAATGAACAAGTTCGCGTTCAAGGTCGAGATACCATGAAAAGAAAAGGAGAGGAAAAAAAGTAACCAGTGAAAAAAGAATGCGAAGAGGAGCAACAAAAAAACGCGAGAAGGAATGAGAAAATATAAAGAGGCGCGTGAATTCTCCCCAACACACGCGTCACTGTCTGTGCAGCTGTATCGAGTTTGTAATTGCGTCGGCTCCAATACATTTTTTTTTGTTTTGTCTCCATAAAAAATTCTCGGACGACAAATTTTTTCGGGTGGACAGAAAGGGCGAGCGAGTGAATATTATCTTCTATTTATTTTGTGACGAATTTCGCGAACGATGACTAGATTCGAAAAATCTGTTTGAAACAGAGAGCAACAAAAATAATTCCGTTGAAATGATGCGAGCGAGTAGATTTCAAGGAAGATTTGATGGAAAAAAAAAATATATACAATGAGCCGATAGTCCGATGGTTCCTTTTTTCCACTTGGCAAGGACGTGGCAATTAACGTACCCGTTGCTCCCTCCGGTCGATGGTGCAATTAACTTTAACGAACGCCCGGCCTTGCGATTAAACTTAATTAGCATCGCCGTAATAACTCGTTAATATCCAAGTGATAGACACTCTGTGCACGATTTTAAACGACAAAGAGCGCCTGGCGTTGGCCAAACGAGACAAGAGGAGAAAATAAAAAAAAAAAAAACGTCTCGACTTTACAACGATTCAACCGCTGATACTGCACTCTCTCTCATCACTCTCTCGAGTCCTCAATACACAGAGACTCGTTCTATTCCATGGCCTCGAGCATCTCTCCCCCCATCCCAAATTTGCCATACCAATCCAACAATCCACACACGCACTTGAATTCTAATTCTTACGAGGAAGTAAATGCACTTGAATAATCGCAAGAACCCCTTCCCCGTCAGCCATCGACAAATGGCAAAAAGCCCAAGTACCGGCATCGCTAAATAAATAACATCCGAAGTAACGAGTAAACCGACGACGAGAAAGCAAAAAAAAAAAAACAAAAAAAAAACAAGAATTCCTGTCACTCCCGATGTAACTACAAACAATACACAAAATAAAAATAAAAACGACAAAAAAAAACCACACAAGCATAAACCACTGAGTCCACGTTTAACCACACCAATAAAATGCCAATGAAATTCGCGAAAAAAACCAAAACATCAAGTCGTAATGAATAAATTCCTTACATCAGCATCACGTATTAATTTTCACTGTGCTACGCTCTCTTGTTCTCACAACTCCACTCCATTATGTTTTCTACTTGGAGTAAGAAGGGGCGATAGGGGGTTTTTGAAAGAATAAATGTGATGTGATCTTGTAACGAGGACTAAGAGACAAGAGGTAATGGAAACACGAACCTGATTGCGGGGCGGCGCACCGAATTATGGGATGGTATGCGCTTTCGGTCGTTCAGCAGCTCCGGTTCCCCTCTCAGTTTTACCCCCTCTACCAACCAACTCCAACCATTACTTTACCCTCAAAATCCCTCTCCTCATTCCCCACTACAATGATTTTTAACCACTACGCCTATATTTTCCCCTCTCTTTACGTTTGCGCGCCTCTCTATACCTTCTATACCTCCTATACTCATACTTGCAAACAACACATCCATCCATCCACTAAACAACTGCACCACTACCATCCACTACATCTACTTCACGCTCTTCACACTCTTCACGTTCACCCCCTTGCCCCCTTGCTCCCTTGCCGCGTTTAACCACTGGTATAGGTAGCCCTGTAGCACCAACTACACATTTGCTCTAGACTAGGCTCTAACTCGTGGTGTTGTTGTGTGCGAGTGTCTCGATCTCTTTTTACCGCATTTTTTTTTCTTCTTTTGCTCCTCTCTACCGGTCGGAGACACGAATAATGCGCAAGTATCGCGGGAAGGGGAATATTCTCTGGGTACTCTTTGCCCGCTCATTCGTTCGGTTTTTATTTATAATCTCGAATTTATACCATTTTCTGCGCGTGTACTCACGGCTGTTTCAATCCGTCATCGTTGAATTTTAATCCAATTTCACCTGACACCTTCACTCATTTCCCGCGTCTTCCTCACTGAGCCCGCCGTTCATACCTCGCCGGAGGAATATCACTCTCTGAGGATGGCCTGGTGGGCAGCGCGCGCAACTCAATGCGTCAGGGTGGAGTGCAACCGAGGTACAGTGTAAGAAAGGTCAACTGTCCAATTTACCGACAATTCGCATCTCTTATTTATATACTGCAAAAATATCTTGATGTTGAATTTTATTGTTGATATGTCAAAGGAAGAATTCAGTGAAATTCATTGTTACTGCACGGAGAGAAATATTTAGTAAAAATTACCAAACTTTCAGTTCACTTACCGATTATGGAGTTGATTCGAAAAATTTAAGTGACGGTATCGTTATTTTTCACTGATAATTCAGATCAAAATTATGGAATACCGCGGAAAAATTCCGTGACTTACGAGTTCGAAAGTCGTAATGTACGAGTATGAAATCATGATTTACGTTATTAAGCTCGTAATTTAGCCGATAGGGAACATCGTAAATAGATATATATTTTTTGATAAAGGGATTTTTAAAGAATATTAAGGATTCGACGATCTCATTTTCCAAGGATAACTGCAATTTCTAACACTCCTATTTTCAGATTACCAATCCTCGCGAATTGAAAAACTTGAACGAAAATTACGATTTATACAAAAAAAAATGATGTAACATTCTTACGTAATCGTAATTTATGACTGAAATGCGTTTATAACCGGCATAAATTACAATTATATAAACGTAATTTACGAGAATTGTTAGCTTCATTTACGATTGGGAAGTCGTAAATTACTTTTACGTAATCGCAATTTACGATTATTTGGACAATTACTTGGATTTCAACTCTAATCGTAAAATATGTTTTGGAACGTTTTGAATAATTTACATGAAAGTTTTTCCGGATGCAAAAGAATATTTTTGCCATTAATTTTATACTTATTTTGTTTTTGAGAAAAATAAATAACTGCAGACGCTCTTATGTGATCATGACTGAATAATAAATGCTCTGCAAATGAACCATGTTCCTTGGGTGTTCCATAAATGGTCGGTTGACCCTTCCCCTGGTGAAGTACCTCGGGCCCTCTATCCCACCAGGATGTTCGTCATATTTTCTCCCCCTGTACCCAGGACTCCTTTAAATGCTACCGTGACTACGCATCTTTAGAGTGATTAGATCTTTTGGAATTTCAATGGTTTTTTTTCTTCTCCGGGTATTGATGAAAATTTTGGGGTATGCAAGCAATTTTTCATCCTATGCATTAAATGACGTTCATAGTTAGGAGGAAGAATGGCATGTGAATTGAATAGTGGAATTCAATTAAAAATGTAAATTCAAGAATTTTATATAATATTGAAATAATAGTTAACGATAAAATATGGAATTTACGATGCTTCTAACGCAGTGAATTAGTAAATAAAAAATAGTACCGAGTGTGGAATCGTAATTTGGGTATGTGAATCTTGCAATTTATATTTTTCAATTTGTTCTGGATGGAGGAAAAAGCATTCACTAGTTTATTTTCCATTCAATAGCAGCTACCACACAAAAAGTCCCGTTCTTCCAAAAATAAACACCAGGACCCTGGGTCAGGCTTCAAGAAGTACAAGAAAAAAGCATTTTTACTTCAAATTTCCCGAGCCTCAGCTGCATGGGGAGTTTTAGATATTTTCGGCTCAACTTTACTTCGCAATAGTAATTTTGTGAAGAGAACGAATATAAACCGGCGTTATTTTCATTCATTTTTGTATTTTTAAAATTTGAAAAATGGAGAAAAATGGATGAGGTGAACACTGAAACGCAGACTATTCGATATAATTTCGTTTCTCATTAATCTTCACTTTGAATAATTAAGGGATTGAAGAACGTATCCGAACTATGGGAGTTGTATATTCATAATTCATATAATTGATGACGGAATGAAATGTTTTTCCCATGTACCCTTCTTCTCCCTATTAATGTGTCTCGGGTAATTAATTATTGCAGTAATGAAAAATGTAAAGATTTGGTTCTCCCGGTGAATGTCAGGAGACACTTTCTATTAGAAATTCATTCATCTACAGAAATGCCTTCTCAATTTATCTCACGGAATACCTTATTACGGAGCATGAAATTAACCAGATATTTCAGGTTTCAAGTAAAATTCTCTTCAAACCATCAAAGGCACTTAATATCTGTTAGTTCCAGCGTATGGAAAGTTCAATTTATGAAAAATCTAATTAGATCGGAATAAAGAATTCCTCAACAGATTTCATAATTCAAATATTTAGAAAATAAAGAGACAAAATAATACAAAATAAGAGAAAAAATAACAAAAAATTGACGGAAAAAGTGAAATCTAATAGAGAAATTGGGGATATAATATTCTTGGATTATCATCGCTCTCCCTCTGAAAAATCAAGACAAAACAAACTAGCCGTAAAGTGCGTTTTCTGGACTGAAATTTACGATGTTCCCTATCGGCTAAATTACGAGTTTAATAACGTAAATCAAGATTTCATACTCGTACATTACGACTTTCGAACTCGTAAATTACGATTTCCAACTCACAAGTTACGGCTTTCCAACCCGTAAATTATCCACATCCAGCGGATATATTACGGGGTTTAATTTAGTAAATTACGCGATTAAAAACGTAAACTGCTGGATTAAAAACGTAAATTACGATTTTGTCTTTGCAATTTACGTTTTTAATCTCGCAATTTACCGGACTGGAAACATCGTAAATTACCCTGCAGAGCGTAATTTACGGCCAGCTTTCTCTGCATGTAATTTACGAGTTCGAAAGTCGTAATTTACGAGTACGCGATCGCAATTTACGAGTATGAAACTGTAATTTACGTTTTTCATCTCGTAATCTACCCGATGGAAACCCATAAATTCGATACCACGTACTTTACGATTACCATAATCTCCGGTATAGTCCGAAAATATTCAGAGACACTCGCAACGTCCACCGATTCTCGTAAATCAACTTCAGGGTAAAACCACCGAATTTCCCCGAAGACTACGTCAGAAACTAGGGGAATTTTTCAATTTTCTCGATGAGCACCTATTGGCGGACTCGCGGAGTGAAAAATCGATGAGTACACCCTGTGGTGTTGCAGAAACGACACCGAGTACATTGCCAGACAGACAGAGGGTAGCCTTGTCTCTGGTGAAGGCGAATAAAACTCACATGGCCACGTGTCCCCCAGGAAAAAGGTCTTCTGCGCGTGAGCAAGTGGTGAATTTGAAAAAAAGGGAGAGAAATTGAAAAAGAGACTCCGGGGTAAATGTAGGAATCCACCAGCGACGATGATCCTCTCGCATGCGCCCTCGTATCCAATCGATAAAAGCCATCCCCAGGTTCACCTATAACACATTCGTGACGTAACACGGTCTATCAAGCAAACGGGGCGAAAATTCTCGATTATTAGCGAACAATACCGAGGAAAACCGAGTAACCGAGGGAAGCGCGAAGCCCATCCGCCTCAATCCCTAATATTCCCTCGGAAAAACGTACGACGTTATCCGCCAGTGATTTTTCCGTCTCATAGTCAACGTGCGTGAAAATTTCTATCATCCCATTTTATTATCCCTCAATAATCCAAGTTATTGGTTGTGCAAGGCCGAATAGATAATGAATACCCAGTGTCAGTTACTGTACATAAAGTGAGAGAGTGCTGATACCCCTGTTTTCCTCGTCACCGAGTTCTCGAAAAACTGTTGACTACCGTATCTGGGACAACTTACTGGCTCCTTTCGTGTATCACGACAATTGATTCATTACCAGTGGTTTCCCCCCCTCCCAAATTCATCAGCACTGTCTCCAACTCCTCGATAAACCCCAGGGTTTATCAATAAATTAATAAACCGAAAGTACAAGCGAGTTTCACAACGGCGAAACGAGTTCGATTACCTGAAAAATCGTTGGGACACTCGCAACAGGTTTAATCTACGAAAATTACCTGTGAACAGTCTATGATAAATCCATGAAAAATCCTGTCGCCTAATCAAGTTACGGGAGATAAGAGAAACATATAAATTGGATTATCAGTTTGGCGATAAATCTGGGTGAGTTGTCGTGGCGGAAAATAGCGAAATTATCTGCGAGTGCGGATATAGAGGAGACAAAGAAAAAGAGAAAAGAGAATTTTTTTAGGGTGAGTACCGCGGATCGGAGGGTTGGAGGGTTGGAGGGTTGGAGGGTTGGAGGGTTGGAGGGTTGGAGCAGTGAAACGCCGCAACCCCTTGCGCCAGGGTACATTGCAGCTGAGTAAAAGTCGCTCCGGCTGGACTGTGGGTGGTGGGAGGGTGTGAAACGGGTGAACGCGACCTACAGCCCTACATTCGCTGAGCCTTGCCAACCAGTGCCACCTAACCTCCACGGGTTTTGTCCTACAGAAGAAGAGCAGAAGACAAAAAAAGAGAAAAAAAGACACCTCACCCGTGGACAACAATAATCGACAGGCCTTTTTCATCCCCATTATTCCCAGGAATTGAAAAATAAACAGAAGGAAGAATCGCGAGTTGGAGAAACTCGCGATAAACGGAGACAATACACAACAAGAACAAAAATACCAACAGGGGGATAAAGGAAGTGGAGAATATAAAAGGGAGAATAAATACTGGTGACATAATCGATGATCATTTAACAGAGTGAATAAATTGAACGCTGATTGTGCGTTGGTCAGTGATTTCCGTCAAAAAGTTGAAAAAAAATTCAAGTGGTGACGAGACGACGGGAGGATCGTCCCCGCGAAAGCGGTGGCGTCGACGGCACAAGAGGTGGACGACGAAGAGGCGTCGTACTCTTCAGTGAATCACCAGTATTATCACCAACCTCGTCATTCGGTATACCCGGATATGAGGATGATGAGGATTATGGTGAGAATTATCAAGACTTAAGTGTAAGAAGGAATAAAGTTAATATAGTTGATTACGGTGATGTTACGGAGATCCACGGTGGGGCGTCAGTGCGGTTGCAGGATAATACCATTGGTAGAAAGAAGGTGAGGGCGCCAGGTGTATTAACGAGCCGCGGGGTGGCCGGGAGTC